GAGGGCCAAGAGGGGACCTGTATTGGCTTCCTGCCATTTTAGGGGCAGGTTGCTGCAGTCCTTGACACCATACAGGCCCTCAGGCTCAGGAGCCCCCCCCCCCCAGTGTTATGCTGGCCACTCAGTTAAGTCAAAAGTGAGCTGGGCAGAACATGGCTCTGTGGAGGTCAGCACAAGTATGTCATGGAATGGCTTGGTTTCAAGGTTCGGTACTATGGGAGCCTCTGGCAACAGGAGCCTCAGCCATGGTTTCCGGAAGCGATAGACTTGACAAACTATGTCAGACTGGTGCCTAGGAATAGAAGTGACTTGTTTCCTCACAAGGTGACTGGCAGCAGAGCAGGAGAGCCAGCCCAAGGTCAGACTCAGATGCACTCCAAGAAGGCCTGAGGCATTTCCTCAAATCACAGGTTGCCAGTGGACATGGACTTCTAGGAAAGCGAGGCGAAGGGAAGGGAAGCTGTAGGCCGAAGGTTGGGAACCTGGGGCCTGCTTCTATGGCATTGCTGTTCCTGGGAGATGCTGTGCGTGTGTGTGTGTGTGTGTGTGTGTGTGTGTGTGTGTGTGTGTGTGTGTTGATCCGTGTTTCTGATTAGTTCCTCCTGCTCTCTAGATGCTGGAGTGGGGGCTCATGGGAGGTACTCTCAGTGGCTGCCTGGGGGACAGTGTGATTGAGCTGGGCTTGTGTTGAGTTCCCTTGAGAACTCGGTTAGATGTTTGCTCCAGGGCCAAAGTCCCTGACACCAGCCCCCATGTTCAGCACTGTGCCTGCCCCTGCCAGGGAATGAACCTGAGTCAGATGGGTGGAAACTCCAGTCTAGGCCTCTCTCCCACCTCACCAGGTTCTTAGCCCTTAGACAGTGTCCCCTTTCCACCTTCCCTTGGATGTAGCGATCTCTTTCTCTTTAGCTGGTGTTCTCTCCCTGGTATTGTGACTGTTATCATCTGGGCCCAAGCAGTCTCCATGTATCTCACGCATCCTGCATGACACTGTGCCATCCATATCCAAAGGATCTGAGGTCTTCCTTGACCAGGCAGTGGCAGGGAAATGGCCAGGCTGCTCCTGGTTCCTCAGTGTCTGTTCTCACACCCAAAAGAGTGATATGGCATTTGAAACCTTGACCTGGGCTCTTGTGGGGGGTACACAGAATGATGCCAGATGGGACCCTTTATACACAGGGCTGGGCAGGACAGAGGCAATGGCCTTCAGTAGGCTTGGACCTTGGTTCTCCCTGAGCGTACAGGTGTTTCTATGAACATGTGTGTATGTATGAGCGTGAGCATGTGTGTTTGTGTACTGAGTGTGTGTATGTAAGTATACCTGTGTACTTATGTGCTTATGCATGTGTAGCACAAGACTCCTGATGGAAGCCAAAGCTTAGAGGCTGAGCTATGAATCCATCCACGGTGCTCACAAATGAATGCTGGATATGTGATGTTCCGGAAATGAGGAGTGAGGTGGGGGAGTGCTAAGCAAGAGTGAGCGCTGGATGAGGTGTGGGCACTCAGAGCCTTGAAACAGGGGCTATTGCCATTGCATTGCCTCTATCCCTTACTCCTGGCTTTGCCTGGAAGTTTTGTGTTGAGTCCCTGGGTGCAAGGGCCAGCTTGCCAGGCAAGTGGTTCCAGGAGTAAGCAGGGATGAAGAAGACAAGACATGTCTTAGGGTTTCTCCCCTCTTCCCTGCCATGGGGCTGAGTCCCCTACATCCAGGGGAGGGTTCTGGACTTTGTCCTGGGATTTTCCAGAGACACTTGGAGGCATGAAATCACATTAGGGAATTGTCAAGCAGACAGTTCACTGGGCATTTCTAAAACAAATGTAAGAGCATCACAGGGGATTAACTTGGAGATGTAGAACTCAGAAGCACAGATGTGTGCACATGGCTGTCCCACTGCTAGAGAGGAACTTGGTCTCCAGTTGTTTGCAGCTAAATTCTGATTAAAACAACACAGCCCTGCCCTTTAGACTGCCATCGATTGACGATTCCCCACTTTTTGATGTGGGACAGTTGGGGACATGCCTTTAGGGCTATTTCATCACATTGCAGCATTGGGAGAGGGTGGCGGTAACTCAAGACAGCTTGGAGAAAGTGGGGCCAGGAGGGGCAGATGGCTGAGGCTGTGGAAGGGGCCTAGTGTAGAAGCTGGTGGTAAAGTTATGGCATGTGATTACATGAGAGAGAGTGTGTGTGTGTTTGTTTACGTGCAGGCTTTCACATGTTGTTTCTTCACTCTTATAGTTCTGGGCTCTAGAGCCAGGCCTCGGTGTCTCTACTTCCTCATTCTGTGGAATGGGCTCTCAGGACACTCAGCATGTGCCTGGCTGGTGTGGGGGACTCTGCTGGGTCCGCCATGCCATTGTACTCAGCTCTCTAGGATTGCCAGCTTCATGGGGTATGGATGGGAAAAGGTTCCTGTCACTGGGGAAACCGAGGAAGGAACTCACAAAGGAAGCCATAAAGCAACAATTGGAAGCAGCGCTGGAATGGAGGTTCCCATCCTGCTTTGAGTTTCCACCACTGGGAAACCAGGCAGAGAGCAAGGACGGGATGAGTGTGAAGCCCAGTGCTGAGGCAACCATTGTGTGTGTGTGTGTGTGTGTGTGTGTGTGTGTGTGTGTGTGTGTGTGTGAACAGAGCTCTGGCCCCCTGTTGGTCTCTTCTGAATGGGACCGAGGGTGGCCATCCTTGGCAGCAGCTGCTTCTCCAGAGTTCAGCTTGGGGTGACCCTTGCCACCTTCCTGCCTGCTGGCCATCGGGCACTTGTTGTCATTGAGATGTTTTAGCCTCTCATTCTTGGGTGTCTGCCTGAATTGAGTTCCTGCTCCTCCTCTGTAGCTAACCCAATTTCTCCTGGCCCAATTTCTTCCCCCTAATGAGGGCCCCACTTCCCTGAGGACTCCCTCCTGCCTGCATGCTCCTCCTGGTACTGAGAGTGCCCTCCACCCTCACTTAGGGCTCAGACTCCAGGCACCATGCCTTCCCTTGGACTCATTCTTCAGCATCCTGTCTGGATACTGAGAGCCCAGAGGAGGCCTGAGCGGCTGTCCCTGCTGTCACACAATAGTTGGGATCCACAATGGCTTGGACTTGGTACAGAGCTGGGGAGGAGCAAAGTTTGACCTTTCCTGGGTCAGGGAGGGGTAGGGGGGTCCCAGGTGCTGCCCTGGTTGGAAGTATTTACATAGATATGGGGTACCTACAACACCCTAGAAGCGAGAGGTGGAACCAGGCCCCAGCACTCCTTATTCTATTGTATTTACCCCATCTTGGGTGCATCTGGGGGTACATTTTTCACCCATTTCAGTAGTGATGGGAGCAAGGCAGAGAGCTGTGCCCTGCAGGGTCCCGGAAACAGGACTATGGAATGTGGGGGCTTGTGGGGGCATTCTGTCTCCTTGGCTTCTATCTGTGGATGTTGAGTCTGACTAGATACAGAATGTCTCAGAAATGCGAAAACCCAGCTGTAGCCTAGGCCTTTCTCTACAAATCCCTCAGGTAATGTGGACCTCACAGCCCATAGCCTAATTCCCAAGTCTAGCTACCCAACAGATCTCAGGGTTGCAGGGGCTGGCGAGTCATATGGTCAGGTACCCAGGCGAGCATGCCCCTTCTCTACCTACCCTTTGCTGTTGCCTAGAGCTCACAATGAGGCAGGTGGGCACGGAGTCAGGAGGATATGGTGGATGACCATCCAACCTCTCTGAAATGAGTGGTAGCAGCCTGCCTGACCTCATGGGGACAGGGACCCACGTGCTGCAACCCAGAGCAGGCTGCAGAACTGACAAGCTACCAGGCTCCTGCTTTATTCTAGACAGAGTGAGGCTTTAGCTGAAGCTCTGTGAGGGAAAGGGATGGGAAGCAATCAGCTACATACTGACCTGGTTGACGCATTCACCTGAGCTACACCTGAAATGGCAGTACCCTGACTCCTTCACTCCTGGGACATAGCCTGAGGGGATGCCTGATAATGGTGGAGTCCCAAGGCACAAGAACTTGGCCCCAGCTCTGTTTTAGCCCCTGGGCAAAAGTTGTGGGCAGGTCTCACTCCCCAGCCTCACTTTGAAGGACTTTGGGTGACTAGAGTGTCCCCACAGGCCACTAAGCAATGCCATGCCCTTTATATACAGCTGGACTCCATAAGACAGGAGGCAGGGGCCTGCTGTTGATGGCATATCCCTTGGATGAATTCCTCACATTTTCCTGTAGCTTCATCTTGAAGCTTAACTATTGCTACAGCCTGTCAATTTGAAGCAACCCCCAAGATTTAGTTTTGAAATTTGCAAGACACTAATATGACAACAGAGGAGGTCACTGCAGAGAGAGCACTACAGGCAGGTCATGTGAGAGAATTTAAGAATAAATTGGAGAAAGAAGTAATGTGTCCACCAAGGCCTCAGTGGGCTCTTGGGGTCCAAGGGACAGGATGAATTGATGGCTTTAGAGTTTGAGCAGGTAAGAGAGCTGCAGCTAGCTTCACTGAGGGGTGGGGAGGGGGTGGAGGAAGGAACAGATACCCACCCTGTCTCTGAAGCAACAGCTGCAACACAAGAATTGAAACAGCAGCAAGCTGGGCATTTTTCAAACTCCATTTCATCACGCCATGGTGGCCGGCAGCCAGGGCTGCCTTCCGGGTGTTCTCCAATAGAGGCCTTAGGAGCTGGGGCGTGGCCTCTAAGTCCCCAAGGACCCTGGGCAGGCCCCCCACCCCCACCCACACACAGTCTCAGCAGAGACTTAGTAGCTCTAAGTATCACAAGCTGGAGTTCCACCCGGTGTCCCTTGACTGCCTTTCTACTCTGTGGCAGCTCCTGGAGTTGCAGAAAGGAAGGAGTTAAATGGAGTCTGAAGGTACCGGTTGGTGGGTCACCTTGATTCTCAGGCTCGGTTCCTTCCCTTCTGCCAGAGGGAAGTGGTGGAGGAGTGAGACTGGGAAGCATGAATGGGGGAGGGTGGGGACCTGGCAGGCCCCACCTCCAGGACCATAGGAGCCGCCCCAGCTCAGAGGCTTGCACTGCCCCAATGGCTCCCGACCCCAGCAGACGCCTCTGGCTGCTGCTGCTGTTGCTCTCCTGCTGCCTCGAGCCTGCCAGACCTGACCGGAATCACCTGAACCCCCTGAATCCCCTGAGTCCTCTGGTGTGGCTGTGGTCCACCAAGACCCATGATCCGCTCTCCGAGCCCCAGATCAGTTCACCTGTGGAACCCACAGAGAGCCCCACCACGCACGTGGTCCCCCAGGATGGCCTCGCATTACAGCAGATGGCTCCTGCCAACCCCAAGCTGTCCCCGGAGGATCAGGAAGCTGGCCAGAGTGGGACCCCGACAACCGCAACCATCCCCATCCCCCCGATGGCCTCTGCCGCGAGCTCAGACATGAAGGAGGAGAATGTTGCTGGCGTTGGAGCCAAGATTCTGAATGTGGCCCAGGGCATTCGGAGCTTCGTCCAGCTGTGGGATGAGAACACAGCTACCGAGAACTCGGCTGGGATAGAACCCTCAGCTTCCTCCATCCCTACCATCCTCCTCACTCCTACTGAGTTCTCCAGCGCCCCCCAGGAGGGTGAGACCACCCTCTGGCTAAGCGGTGGTGTTTCAAGTTCTCCAGATGTTCAGACAACTGAGCCTGGCACCCTAGCTGTGCCGACCCAGCCACCTCCCTCCCTGAGCAGCCTCCAGGCACCACTGAGAAGACCCTCAGTGCCACCAGCACCCCCAGGTAGAGCTTTTCTCTCTTCTACACAAGCCAGGGATCCTCCCTGGGTGAGCCAGAAGCCCCCCAGGCAACCCCAGCATCTGGAAGGGAACAGACTCTTGCCTGTGGCATTCAGGCCCAGACAGCAGCACCCACACGCTGATGTCCACTCCGACATCCACAGGCACATACCTCTAATGCTTCCTCTGGTGATGGGTCCCCTGGTGACGGCTTCTCTGGGTGTGCATGGTTTGCTATCTGTCCCTTCCTCTGACCCCTCAGCCCAACTCTCTCAAGTAGCAGCTTTACCTGGGTTCCCTGGTGCTTGGGTTTCCCACCAGGCTACTTCTTCAGGGCCTGAGCTTTCTAATGACTCTACACTGCTGGGAACTGGCTCTCTGACTTCTACCAGCCGATGCCTGCCCCTACCGCCCTCTTTGACCATCTGCAGTCACCTAGGTATTGGACACTTCTGGCTGCCTAATCATCTACACCATAGACACAGTGAGGAGGTGGAGGCCACTGCTCGTGCTTGGGAGCACCTCCTCCAGACAAACTGCCATCCCTTCCTTGCCTGGTTCTTCTGTCTGCTGCTGGCTCCCTCGTGTGGCCCAGGCCCACCACCTGCCCTGCCACCTTGCCGTCAGTTCTGTGAGGTCCTGGAGGATGGATGCTGGAACTACCTAGATGGGGGCAGGCTGCCTGTCAACTGTACCTTGCTCCCTTCTCAGGAGGACGGGTACTGTGTGTTCATTGGGCCAGCTGCAGGTAACCAAGTGGCCACCATACACCCCCTTCCTTTTCACTTTATCAAGAGCGCTCAGTCAGGGCTGATGAGAGCTTGGACTCTGCTTCACCGGGTCTGGTAATAGCACACTGGAGAGGTGCTGGGGTATGGTATCCTGTGAAGGGGAGGAGGCTGGGGTCTGGGTGTGGCCATGACCACAGGTTCTATGCCTACAGCAGGTGTGAAAGGTCATCACCTGCCCCAGGTGCTCCTGAGCCACAAGGAGACTCAGTCCTCACAGAGTTAGCTAGGTGCTGCCTCAGTCACAGGCTGGAAATTGAAAAACAAAGCTGTAACGTGACACAAACTAAGGAGCTTTGATTCCTACCAAATTCCAGCTACTCTGTCCTTATTCCTAGCCCCTGAGCCATGTTGTCTGACTTTTTCCCTGTGGCCCCAGCCAATCTAGCCAAAGGTCTGAAATGTGCCAGCCACATAGGGAGGGTCATAGGCTCCAGCCTCCTATACCACCCACATGCCTCTGATACCTACGTGATGGGTGGAATGGAGGAGGGGGTCATTTTTCAAATTATCCCAGGATCAGGGCAGGCCAGGGGCAGTTGGACCAGGCCTCAGGGAGCTTCCTTTTGTGTCTTGTCAGGGACTGGACCCATGGATAGTGCTCTCAAGCTGTGCTCCTGACTCCTCAGCTACTGTTTGTGTTGGAAGGCCTTGTCCAGCCTGCAGGGCATGACATCAGTCCTCTGCATGAGGGGATGTGGCCTTGACCTTTAGTCAAGGCTCTGGAGCTGGGAGGCTTTCCCGAGGACAATAACAGACCCAACAGTAGCCCTATTAATCGGTAGCTAGGGACCAGTACTAGTGGGAACAGAGGTGGGGACCTGGGTGCTGTACCCTGCACATCCATCCAGGCATGATGGCTCCCTGGGATTCTGCTGGGAATCAACTTGGATGGTCCCTGGCAAGTTGCTGGCTCAGAGCTTGTGCAGACCTAGGGTGTAGCAAGAAAGGGGCTCCAGATAGGCAGGGTCAAGCACTACATGGACAGTACTCAGTCCCAGGAAAGAGGCACACGAGGAACTGGAATGCAGGAACTAGTGGGCAGGAAGACCATACAGAGGATGAACAGGTCTCTGACTGAGAAGATGTATACAGAGGGTGAGGGACAGACTACAGGCAGAAGAGCTGGATGTGTGGGCATCTTCCAGGAAGAGCTTGGGTTGTTCAGAAACCCAGGGGATGCTCATAGCTTCAATTGTGGACCACAGCTAGACCTGAGAGGGTGGGGCTGCCCTAGGGCTATCAGCTCAGATTTTACCCAGCTGTTGTCACAATGAACGCCACCCCCCCACACACACACATTCCATCCTTGAAATAGCTGAATGTGGAGTGGCTCGGGCTGCCTCCCGGTGGAGGCCCACACCTGGCCACAGCTGGCAGAGCCCATCTCACATGGTCAGCTCCCCAGGGGTGTGTCTTGATGGGAGAACAACAGACATCTTCTGTTGGGGCCATGCAAGATGATGGGGAATCATGTGGACTGCTGTTCAGGGTTAGGAGGGTCTGGCCACGTGTCTGCTTCAGGGGCAGCGAGAGGGGTACAGGGCCAGAGCTGGCACATGCCGTCCTTATAGTGGAGCTTCATGGGGCACTAATGTCTTTCACTGTGGTTGCCTGGCCAGCCAGTGGCTGGCTCAACATCTGGACACTTTGGGCTGTATCCCCAGCAAGGTCATGGGGGACTGGTCCATCAGTACTCATGGTCCCCATCCCTGGGTGGCAAACTTCATTGAGATAAGGCCCCTTTCCAGGCAAGGTTGGTGGGGGTGTCTTCCATGGAAACTTAGAGGGTAGGAGCAGGAAGGCCCTTTACCTTCTCCGGCCTCTCTTTCCCAGGCTCCTCCACTCCAGGGTGAGCTCCACTCCTGCTGGGCCTCTGTGCCAGGCTGATCTAATCTCAGTGTGGAGTAGGACAGGTGGAGTTCCTGGTGGGGCCAGAAAGGAAGATGAGGAGGAGGACTTAACCCCTCCCCCGCAGTGTTCCCTAGTGGCAGCTGTGAGGTTTTAGAGTGGGAGGTGGTGGGTTCGGATCTTAACCCCGTGACCACCTAGGGACAGGGATAGTCCTTGACTTCACCAGGAGGTGTGGGGATCGGGAGTAGTGAGTTCCTATAAGGAGAATGCACTTCCTCCTCAGGGTCTGACCAGAACCTGACCATGGTGGGTGCCCCCCACTATAATGTGGCCAGTGTAGTCTGACCCCAGTCCTGCAGTCACCCTAAGTTCCCTGGCCTTGCACATCCAGCCTTGTACTTCTACTTAAGCACCCCTATGCACCTAGACTCAAACACCTGACTTCAGCTAACTTTGAGTTTCTGTTTAACTTTGATCTGAAGAGACAAGGTGTTTCTATGGAAAAATACCTAAATACCTCTATACACCTGGTGCAGCAGTCCTGGCCTTATACATATATACACACCTCGCCTTGCACACCTGGCTCTGCCTAACATCCTGAGGCCTCTGGGCTCGCTTGTCTAGCCAAGCTTGTAGCTCCACGCGCATGTCTTTTCTTCTGACCCCTGAGGGAGACATGAGGTAAATGACTTGTGCCAAAGTATCAGGGAACATTACGGCATTCAGTCGGTATGTGAGGTGATAGCTGGGAGGTAGAGGGTCACCCCGTGGGAGCTCCTTCACATGGCTGATCTGCTGGTTAGCGTGTAACAGGGCCCCTGGGAAGGTCTTGTGTATATAGGCCTGTCCCTTGGGTATGTGGGGGGAGAGATGGATGGATGTGCAGGGGTACAGCACCCAGGTCCCCGCCTCTGTTCCCACTAGTACTGGTCCCTAGCTACCGATTAATAGGGCTACTGTTGGGTCTGTTATTGTCCTCGGGAAAGCCATCGGCTATCTGAGTGGAGCTTGAGTCAAGGGGATACACAGACCTGGGTGTTTGGCTTGCTCTCAGCCCTCCATGTCTCAAAGCCTTGTCTATCTTGTGAATGATACTAGCAGGTACAATTTCCCAAGGAGCCTGAAAGCTCTTGGGAGAAGGCAGGGTCTGGGGAATCCAAATCCTGCATTTGTAACAGGCTTGCAGACATACTAGGTGCAACTAAGAGTCACACAGTGTGACTGAACCTCTGAACCTTGTGGATCATGCTGGCCAATTGGAGAGCATTTGGAAAGCAGTTGGGAGTGTGCGGGGGAGGGGAAGGGCTCTGCTATATTTGTCACTCGGCAGTCCACAGATGCCATAGATGTTCCCTCCATCGGGAACCCATGAGTGCCCAGTTGTTCTCACCTTGGCCTTTATCTGGCTCCTTAATCAAATGTGAGACTTCGAAATGCTGCTGTTCTTTAGGACGCTTGGGTTAACCCGAGTTTCTGTTTAACTTTGATCCAAGGAGACAAGACCCCTCCATGGAAAAATACCTGAATGCTTATCTCACACTCCTGGCAACCTGCAGATAAATAGTGTGTGCATGCTGCTAGCTGACCTGTCTACAGATATCCCTTCCTCCCAGACACACCAGATCCACTGCGAAGACAACTTGCTGGGGAGTCCAGGATTAGGACCCAGATGACCCGCAGCCATAGAAGTGTAGGACCCTGGAGAGAGTCTGCAGACACTGATGAACAGCCAGGGATTTAAAGTGTGTGGTGCAATGGCTTCATATCATATATGCTGCGAAACAATGACCACTGAGTTATTTGACATATCCATCACTTGTCAGGGTTACATTTAAAATCTACTCTCTGAACAGGTCTGTGTGTGTGTGAGCGTGTGCATGCATGCATGCATGCAGATGGTACTAAGGATTGAACCTAGGGCCTCACACGTGCCAAGCAGGTTCCCTGAACCTCACACCAGCTCTTTCTAAGTCTTTGCACATAGTATAGATGGCCATCTGAAGTCACCTACTGCATACCAGGTCTGCAGAACTTGCCCAGCCACCAGACTGCCTAGGATTAATGTCTCCCCATTTCTCCACCTCCACCAGCCAGAAAGCCACCCCTGTGCTCCACATCTTTAGGTAGTCCACCTGTGACCTGTGAGTAAGGTCACATTGTGTTCTTTCTGTGCCCGGATTGTTTCATTTAGCAGTGTCTACCAGTTTCTTTATGTTAGCAGAGGACAGGTGTTCCTTCATGTTCAGTGTTGTGTTCGAGCACAGCACCTTCTTTTTCTTATGTCCATGAACACCCGTGTGGTTCTGCATCACGGTTGCTGTGAGTGTGGAGGGCTGCAGTAAAGCTGGGGTGTGGGTGTGCC